GTCATCCCTGTCACTTTTGCACCTTTTCCGGCCACATTCTTCCCTTCTTCTTAACACTCTGTTAATATACTTTGATACTGCGTTCTGTGAGCATCCAGCTTCTTTTGCAATTGCCTTTTGAGACTTTTCCTCCTTATGGAGGGTGTCAATGATGGTCGTCTGCACAACCGTCAAGTCAGCAGTCTTCCCCATGATTCTGAAGCCTACTAAGCCAGACTGAGACAATTTCAAGGCTGAGGAAACCTTTGCAGGTGTTTTGCATTAATTAGCTGACTAGATTGGGACACAAGGAGCCTACAATGTTGAATTCTGTCATGATATTCTAATTTTGTGAAATACTGGATTTGGGTTTTTTTTTGTCTTTAATCCATAATCATCAAAATTGAAACAAATAAAGGCTTGAAATATTTCACTTTGTGTGTAGTGAACTAATATAACATACAAGTTTCACTTTTTGAAACAAATTATTGAAATAAATGTACTTTCCCTCGATATTCTAATTTTTTGGCACATACCTGTACCATACACACCTACTGCGTGTTCTCAAACTCTCACTCTTTGTTTTTACTTAGCGAGCTACGCCTCTCATACACCCTGGGAAACAGTGGACCAGTCAACCCAGTGTGCCCAGCTGCCCCGAGATCAGCGGAAGAGACCAGCTCTGTTGTCTTGTTTGTTTGTTTTTTTTTTTCAGCGACACATTAAAGACGTTTTTCCTTGTCTATCCTGGGTTCGAGTCTGCATCATTACTGGGTCCAAAACCACTCAACACACGCTTTACCGTAACATAATGTAAATAAAAAAGATTTAAAGCTAAACTAACTTCTGTTTGTGCTTGTTGAGTCTTTGAATTATATAGAATGAATAATTTTTTTCTACATTAAGAAATCCAGAAATCACTCCTCTGACCTGAGGCAGATTCAGGCTGTAAATTAGAGGTTTGATGATGAGAGGAATGACAAGAAACTCCAGAGATAAAATAAATGAATTTTTCTCATCAGTCTTATGCCCAGTTCCGATTACATGATTTAAGCCTGATAATATGAAGGATGCAGGGCAACAGAACCGACAAATGGCATCAGACATGACGATTGTTTTATCTCGTATAGTATGTCATGACAACTGTGTCTGGGATGCCTCACAGTGTGCCAACACAAAGTCTGCCATGTCAGAATTTTTTTCATCATCAGCAATGATGTGGGCTGATGCTGACCAACAGGAGCACAGATGGTTCTTCTGTCCAGAACATTTTTGGTATATTGGACTGAACCATATTCATTAACTATCAGAGTGATACAGCCAATGTTAACATAGTGACTTTGACAGTCAGCCTTGTGAAGTAGCTACCCTATCAGGGCTAGCTAGCTAGTTTTCAGTTTCATTACCGACTTGAAACACTTATTTTTAACTGCTACCTCAAGTTCTCTGTGAAGGAGAGACAACACAAGCTGCTGTGCTCTTAATGCGACTTAACAGGTTCATGGTTGCCCCCCAACTCTTTATGCTTTCACGAACACAAGCAGCCAGTATCACACACAGTCTTTTCCTGGTCCCTAGTACCTGTGTCAGGCTGTGATCTTTCCAGTATCAACATACACTAATTAATGTAATTAATCTGGCATAGTGACCATCATACCAGACAAAAAAATGTGTAGTCTGAATCAGGCATCATCAAAAAATTTAGTGGCATCTCTGAATATTTAATGTAAAATTATTCCCAACAGTCACTATGTGGGGCAGGCAGGTCTATAAGGCTTTTTCTCTGAATTCAGTTGATCTTTTCCTGCAGACAAGCAGAATGCACATGTAGGTTTACAGGATGAAGAACATGGGGATAAAGATCAATTTCAGAACAAACTACAACAAAATGACCTGCTACACTGATCACAGTTATGTCCTCACACAGGAGAGCTGAGCTACAGATCAGCTAGTGCCGTAAATCCTGTGCAGTTGATTTCCACACAAAGGCAAAATGTTGGCCTGACAGAAAAGGTAGCTAAAAATATATGCAGAGCACAACATGACAAAAATCAAATAAAGTAGCACCATGGCGGCTGTGGCTCAGGAGGTAGAGTGGGTTGTTCCCTAACTGGAAGGTTAGGGGTCCGACCCCTGGCTTCTCCAGTCCATGTGTTGAAGTGTCCTTGAGCAAGACACTGAACCCTACTTGCTCCTGGTGATGACACCGGTGTGTGAATAGATGAGTGTTTGTGTGAGTGAATGGGAAATAGTGTAAAGCTCTTTGAGTGCACAACAGTGCATAAAAAAATGCTATATGAGACCTTTAATGCCCTAAATGTCATTTCACTGTGATAGTGTAAAGGCTGGCAAATAACAAATCTATCACAGACCACGACAGTGAGGAGAGTCAACTCTTGTCCTATATCAGTGTAAATAACATTCATCTCAGCGAAACTACTCTGGTTCTCTCTTGTACTTGTAGAAAAGCTGCTTTACTACAGAATAAAATGACCTTACAACCAGCTCTATACTGGTCAGAGAAATAGCTCTCAATGCACATACTCCAACTTCCTGCTTGAAGGACTCCACAGCAACAAAGGGCAGGAGTCAGACAAGGCCAGTGAAAGGTTGTGACTCCTACCAAACACACAAGGAGTAGTAGAGATGACTATTTAGTTCTGATTACTCTCTTAACTGGCAAGAAAAGAATGGAAATCTGATGAAGAATTGAGGATTCAGGAGGTTTGTTGATTTTACTTCTGTTACAGGTCCTGCACAGATTTCCTGTGTTCCAGTCATTTTATGGTAATTCTAATTAAACAAAACTATTTAGAAATATGCAACATGTGCAAAGTTGGAAGTAAATAAAGAAATCATCTTGTTGTCAGGTCCCAACACCCTGAGGACTCAAATGCATGACACACATCCAGGTGTAGAGGTTTAGGATGTTTTATTGGAAGGTGCACATGAGAAAACAGCAAACAAAAAGTGCATGGCACCCCAGGCAGAAAAGCACTTTTAACAGCTGGAGGTAAAAATGAACAGACTTTTGTTGCTGGTAGAATAATAAATTGAACATTTGTGTTATAATATTTGCCACTAATGCACAGTCTTAATGGTTTTAAATGGTCTGTGTGATTACTGAGTCCTGAGGCCCTGTCTTGTTTGGTAAAAACAGCCACTGCTGGAAGCCAAGCTGTCAAGAGAGTTGACACTGAAACATACAGTGAATACACTGTAAACCAAAGCTGGAAAACAAAGAGAGAATCCACCAAAACAAGTAACACCAGCCTACATTCTGTTTTAAGTGTTTCTCTAAGGGCATTTGATGTTGGTTTGAAAATGCCGATTTTGTTTAAATGTTAATACAAAAATATCTAAATTGAACTTGAAGCAAAAGTAACATCAAAAATGACTATAAGGTTTTGAACACAAGAAGTATCTTTATCATCTCAATAGACATTTAAGATGCCCAATAACCCAAATGCAAAACCAAGTTTGTTCAAGATGAAAATACCCATTAATCCACAACTTCTACTGTTGTTATTCAGACAAAAAAGCAGCATATAACCTGATTTATTGTTTGTACTGACCACAGGGTGACACATGGAGAGACAGAAGATCATATTCAGTGGAATTCGAGTTTGACTGCAAATTATAAATGACATATGAGTCCCATGAGCTGTGAGTTGGACCAGGCATATAAAGACTGAACAATTCTTAATAATAATTAATGTAATGCAGGGGGATCTATTATTTCAAGGCAGCATCTATTTTCTATACACAAATTGCACAGATGAATTACACTCATTCTTGAAGAACACAATGTGAATAATAGAATTAAAGCTTCATTTATCTTATTTCTGTGGTTGTGTGGTTTTTGACTTATCTAGAATGAACATTTTTTTTCTTATCCTTAAAAATCCAAAAATCACTGTTCTGATCTGAGGCAGGTTCAGGCCATAAATTAGAGGGTTCATGATGGGAGGAATGATCAGAAACTCCAGAGATAAAAAAACAATTACAAATGGCTTGACTCCCTCAATATTATAAAGACTCAGTGAAATCTCAGAGAAAATCGAGATGCAAAAGTTCACAAAGGTCACTATGTGGGGCAAGAAGGTCTGTAAAGCCTTTCCTCTGAATTCAGATGAACTTCTCCGGCAGACAAGTATAATGCACAGGTACGTATACAGGACAAAAAACAGAGGGATGAAGATCGATATCACAGCAACAAACTGACCTGCTACACTGATCACACTTGTGTCCTCACATGAGAGCTTAACTATAGACCAGCTGGTGCAAAAGATCTTGTGCAGTTTGTTTCCACACAAAGGCAAAGTGATGGCCTGATAGAAAAAGTAGCCTAAAAGACACATAGTGTACAGCACAGCAAGGAACAAAAGCAGCAGCACTGTCCTAAATGTCATTTTACCGTGATAGTGTAAAGGCTGGCAAATGGCAACAAACCTGTCATAGGCCATAACAGTGAGGACAGATACCTCATGAATTTTGTAAGTCTGAATAACATACATCTCAATGAAACAAAGCGGACGTGAGATGAAATGAGTGTCGGACAGAAGGTCCATCAGGAACCTGGGGAAGAAGCCGGTCGAGCCGTACAGAGAGTTTAAACACAGAGAGCAGATGAAAACATACATGGGCTGATGCAGAGAGGTCTCCAGGCAGACTGACAGAACAATGACAAGATTAGCAGAGATTATAGTCATGTAGATCAACAGAGAGAGGCTGAAGAAAAGATATCTGAGGGGCCCATAGTCTGCAAACACAGTGAACTGGAAATAGGAGGGAGTCAGGCTGATGTTGCTCTTCATGTTTGCACAACAGCAGCACAGCTGCAAAAGGACGAGTCAGAGCAATGGAGGGAGAAGAGTTAAAGGTTGAATACAACAGCAGAGAGAATGACTGTAGTCTAAAATGTTATTAGTTAAATATCTTTTTCAATATTTACAAGATAAACCTCTATCAATGTACATATTTATCTAACTTCAATATAACTGGCACATTTCATGTAATTCATAAAGATGTGTTAAAGCTATGCACAGTTGGAAAAAGTGTCACATGTACTAATTGCACAACCCAACATCACATTTCACATGTCATATAATCAGCACCTTAAACAATGTCCGAGCACAGAAAATAAAGATTGTAATGTGGTTATAAAGTGTGACAACTGACATTCAGCTCTGAGCTCTTACACATCCATGTTCACAACTGATGGAGCCACAGTTCTTCACTGAGAGCTCTCCCAGTGTAACCCAAACTGAGGCAACTGCTGGACTCTCATCTTGTTTTGTTGTTACACTGAGAGCAGCCACAAACACAGACTGGGCCCAGAGGGACATGATGGAAGTCTAGGCCTTCACTGATTAGCTCTTTGTCTTTAATGTATTTTTATCTGCTTGTAGTCGTAACGATGCCAGAGACAAACCAGGCTCATAGGGTCACATGTTTAAGGCTGATGAATGCAGAAGAAGACAATAGTTTATCTGATGGATTAAAGAAGGAACATGGCAAATGTTACCTGACTATGGGACAATTAAGGGCAGACATGCCAAGCCAACATCAAAAACTAGAGGTGACAAAAGTCGATTGCTGAGTTGCCTCACATCAACTTCAGCTGGGCTAAAAAGTGGCCCTTGAACACACTGCAGACTACAGCCACCAGCCATTCAGCTCGTATGTTACACAGTTTCACAAAACATTCATACCCAGATTATGCTTGAGTCAAATCATTTAACAATATGGGTTTTCCAGTCAGTGATCTGATATTTATTAGACTAAAAGTGAAGGTCTTGATGAGGCAGAAGCTTTCATGAATATGACAAACTGTAGAATAGAACAGATAATGTAATAAGACAACTAGTATTTGTGGGGAAAAAGGTGGCCTGCATATGCAACAATATGGAGATACAGCTGTGACTGCCTGATTGTTTTGATTGTTTTGTTAGATTTTACATGTCACTACCACTGTTGGAGATATGAATTAGTTGTTTGTGATTAACATATCTAGGGAACCTATGAGTAATATCAAGGAGATAGTTTCAGTGCAACAGACTTGGTATTCACTCTGACAACCTGTACTGTTAGGCTTAACAGTGCTGGATGTATTCACTAAGCTAGTGGACTATCTAAATCGAGCAGTCTCTGTAATCAACGAAGTGGGGGCTGTGTAGTGTACTCAGGGAGTGACATGGACCTTATTGCCACAGAAAGAAGGCCAGTTATCAACAAGACCAGGTCCCTGTTCACTGCAGTAAAAAGCCAACCTGTGGTTCAGTGAAGTAAGTCTGCTGTACTTCCCATCATTTCCCCACACAGCTATGGGACCAGAGACAGTCACTTGATGCTGACACCTCTTCGTAGCAAACTTAAACATCCTGACTAGCTTTTGTGATCTCATGCTGCTTCATTCTGAAGTTTGAGTTAAGCTTCTGTACCGAATCTCTGGATCACCAACAATGTAGCTAGTGTTGTGCAAGTTCACACTGAACAAGATCTGGCTCAGTGTTCAGTTCACACACATCAAAATGAACTAGTTCAAAATTCATAATTCACAATTTAGAATTTTTAGCTTAGGGACCTCGCAGTAAACAGTAATTCAATTCAATTCCATTCAATTTTATTTGTGGAGCACCAAATCACAACAAATGTCATCTCAGCAAAGTAAGGTCTACACCTTACTATTATGATTAGGAAAACCCCAACAAATCCCCCTTGAGCAGCACTTGGCAACAGCAGAGAGGAAAAACTCCCTTTAACAGAAGACACCTCTGATAGATCCCGGCTCTTGGTGGGTGGCCTTCTGCCTCGACCGGTTGGGGTGAGTGAATGGAGGAGAGAGAAAAGAAGAGCAACAAGATGTCCTCTCTCTCTCTCTCTCTCTCCCTGTACCTTTCTGCAGGTAGCCCTGGCTCTGCAGCTCTATGTCTCTGATGAGTAGTTACCGGCCACATCAACCAGCCCAGTGTTTGATTGTTTGTTGTTGTGTTTGCTGTGTCACACGCTATGGGAGAGAGGAGACACATAGTTAGTGATGCATAATGATCATGCCCCCCCCCCCCCCCCCGCTCGCTTGCGATCAGGTAGGCCTTACAGTGCTGGGATCAGAGAGACAGCGCTCCCGCAGGAGTTCCATCCACTGACCCCCGAGTCATGATTTCCCAATACATTTATGCATTTTGGGCTGGGTCCGCCCCAAACAAAGATCTCGCGAAACCAGGTGTGTAAGTGTTGTCATGTGACTTTCTAGGCGGCAACCAAACAATGGGTTTTCTGTGCCGCAGACCCCCCATCTGTGTAATCCCATTACATAACAAAGCAGGACCTGCGTGCAGACCCTGAGTGTATACAGAAGTTAAAGTGATCAGTTTATACTTCAGTATCACCTGACTCCCATCTGCACAAATGGAATTAAATGTATTAAAGTAATGAAGGCTCAGTAATTCTGGTCAATCATCAGTACAGTTTTACCATGTGTAAGCAAGGAAGGTAAACATATGAAAAGTACCTGAAAGACAATGATGAACAGAAAAGTAACTAAAGATTATAAAGTAACTAGGGCCTATAAGAATCAAGTCTTGCACTATTCTCCATTTAATGTAAACCGGAGCCTCTTTGTCTAGGTGTGTGTGTGTGTGTGTGTGTGTGTGTGAGACAATAAGCTGACGTATCACCTCATTCAAATTGTAAGACATATAAGCAAGGAGAATGACTGTGTTAGAAAATAACCAGGGCTCAGTAATGCACAATAATCAATACAGCTGTAATCAGGTAAGATAAACTTATGAAAGGTAACTAAAGGGAACTAAAGGCATGAGAGGTAACTAAAACTGATAAAGTAACTAGAGTCTATAAGACTCAAATCTTACAACAGCTAAAGGCTCTGCCTCCCATTCTACTTCTGTGGACTCTAAGAACCACAAGCAGACCAGCAATCTGAGAGCAAAATGCTCTATTAAGATGATAAGGCTCTACGAGCCTTGTCATTAAGGACTTTGTTTGTTAGGAGAAGGATTTTAAAATTGATTCTGGATTTTACAGGGAGCCAGTAGAGAGAAGCTAATATGGGAGAGATATGATCTCTCTTGCTAGTTCCTGTCAGTACTCTGGCTGCAGCATTTTGGATTAACTGGAGGCTTTTTAGGGAATTATTGGGACACCCTGGTAGTAAAGTTACAGTAGCCCAGCCTGGAAGTAACAAATGCACAGACCAGTTTTTCAGCATCAATTTGAAAGAGGATGTTCCTGATTTTAGCAATATATTTGATTTGATTTGATTTGATTTGCACAGGCAAGGCAGTTCTAGAGACTTGGTTTATGTGAGATTTAAAGGACATATCCTGGTCAAAAATGATTCTAAGGTTCCTCACAGTAGTACTGGAGGACAGTGTTACAGTATGTCATCTAGACTAACTACATGGTTAGACAGCAGATTTCTAAGGCTTTCAGTACAATTTGTCGGAGTTTAGGAATAAGAAATTACAAGTCATCCAGGCCTTTATGTCTTTAAGACAAGCTTGAAGTTTGACCAACAGATCTGATTCATCTGGGTTCATAGATAAATAGAACTATCATCTGCATAGCAATGGAAATTTATGCCATGTTTTCTGATAATACTGCCTAAAGAGAGCATGTATAAAGTGAAGAGAACTGGACCTAACACAGAGCCCTGTGGAACATGATGGCTAACTTCAGTCTGAAACAAATTGGAATCTTTCTGATAAGTAAGATTTGAACCAACTTAGTGCAGTTTCTTTAATTCCAATAACATGTTTGTCTTTGTAATAAGATACTGTGACCAATGGTGTCAAAAGCACCACTGAAATCTGTCATGTTAACAGCTGGCACCTCCACCTCCTCACTTGCCAGCAGCCGGTCCAGGCTAGCTTAGCTAGCTGACCTAAAGTAAAGAAAGTCACTTTCGGCTTTTCCCGTTTAGGGGTTGCTACAGCGAATCTGAGGACTCGCATGTTGGCATTTGGCACGTGTTTTACACCGGATGCCCTTCCTGACGTAATTCATTGTCCTCAAAACCTAGGGCCAACTTAAAGTCCTCTAGGGGCTGGGGTAACCTGCACTCACACTGAGGTCATCCTGTGGGCCCAAGAGCATTTACTGGTGAGGGGTCGGAGGCCAGTGCCATGCACCCAGTGTCCAACTCCCTTTCCTGATAAGCCCAAGGCTGGTGGGGTGCCAGCCGGTCCCAGTGCAGCACCACCTATAGTATATGGTCCTGCTTCACCTGTCTCACTCTGTAGACTAGACTACGTCTGACAACTGTTCCAGCACTGTACAGGGTCCTGCCCAGTGGCTGGTGAGCTTGGGTGACAGCTTCCGTTTGCGCTCTGGACTGCACACACAGACCAATGCACTGGGCATGAAGTCCTCCATTCCTCATATGCCTGCTTCAGTTCAAACCCAGCGCCCAAGAGGGTCTGGCAAGTGAGCTTGTGCACCTCCCAGAGCTGTTCACAGGGGTGATAGTAGTAGTCCAGTCCAGCCTTGCCTGAAGACTGGACTACGTCTGCCAACTGTTCCAGCCCTGTACAGGGTCCTGCCCAGTGGCTGGTGAGCTTGGGTGACAGCTTCCGTTTGCGCTCTGGACTGCACACACAGACCAATGCACTGGGCATGAAGTCCTCCATTCCTCATATGCCTGCTTCAGTTCAAACCCAGCGCCCAAGAGGGTCTGGCAAGTGAGCTTGTGCACCTCCCAGAGCTGTTCACAGGGGTGATAGTAGTAGTCCAGTCCAGCCTTGCCTCTCACCTCTGGCTCCGTGGACTGCCATGCCCACTGGACCAGAGGCAGGTG